TTCGATGTGTTCTTAATCTGTCTTTATTTTAATGAATTATGTCTTTTGATTTTATTATATTTCTGTTTGGTTCTAGCGATATAAGAAGAAAGCTGACAATTAAAAGACCTCAAGGGTTAGCGGTTCTCACTTCATTATTGATACAACAATCTCTAGTTCTCTTGTGGGTGTAGGTAGCTCCATATAGCTAATTTTATGTTAATTATAGTATGATACTAAGTTGGATTATACAAGTTGTATACTTCTTGATTTGCCACTTGAGAGATTGGTGGTGTGATTAAGGTTAACATGCCCAGTATTCCAAAAATTGATATCAGTGCTAAGACTTGAGTAAGAAGGGCAATGACATTTAATTATCAACCAGCAACCACATCAAGATGCATAGGATCAATGGTGAGCACAATATGGGCATTTGGCAGGAGAGGATGAAAATTGTACCATAGGCCTTCATAAGGCATTACTCATAAAGCCAAGAAGTTAATAAACAAGAGTTTTGGAGATTGGCAAGAGATTGATCTCCATGAGTTTGGTACAATTTAGTCATGTTTGGACAATGTGATATTTATCTATGGATGAGGAGACTATTTTCCTTATGTGGTTCATTTCAAAAAGACTGCATGACAAAGCCCCAAAAGTCAAAGGAGAAGTCTGAAGATATATTGAATCTTAAGCATATTGTTGATGATATTGATGTCTATGTGGAAGACATAATGCTTTTATGTACCTTTCAAATCTTCATGTTTGCATGCATAATCTCTAGAATAACAGTATTTTGTGTACATATCCATCATAAGATCATGTGTGCATGCTTCAAAACAGAGGGAATTTACATACCCCAAGAATTTTGATATTTGCCTCTAGTTGACACCTCAGCAATCCCTGAGAGATAATCATGGACAACACAGCAATGTTTGACTGGCTTAGAAAGATATCGGGTTCTGTCAGTGGAAAGCAATTAGGGAACACAAATCGATGGGTCCTTTTGGTTGGAATTGTGTAGGGAAGGGAATATAGATGCAAAGATGTTTTTTGTTTTATAACAAGTTTGGTTAAATAAACTATACATAATGTAGGTTAAATCTAGCTTTGGTTCCAGAATTGGCATCAAAGGTATTGACAAAAAATTTGGACCGTTGTGTAGGTTATATGTGTATGATCTTTTGAAGGCATACATCAAATATCCATTTTTCAAGGGGTATATATGAAAAAAAAAACATGGTTTTAAATTTACTTGAATTCCATCCAACCAAATTGACTTATACTCGGCCATCATCCAAACTTGAATTATAAGAACAAGAATGATGAATCTTATTTTCTTATAAAGGGCATTACAAACAATGGGTGTGAGTGCTTAGTCAAGTACAGGATCATGAATCTTTGTAAGAAGTCTTATAGTTTCAGTGGTCTTGCTCCTCATTGGACATAGCCAATTTTGTTGAACCTACGGTACTCTTCTTTATCGATTATTTTACAAACAGAGATCGGTGGATAGGATGCATACCCCTAGGATAGCCGACAATTCTCATTGACAATATTGTTGCAGATATGTTTGTGGGTTCTTATAGAAGTTTATTGCTTGACCTGTGAAATTGGACTTGTGGAAATTGTTGACCACTGACGCTAAACGTCGAACTTTGTTTCTCTAGAACATGGTGCCTTAATGAAATACTGAAAAGTGAAAACTTCCAGTGTTGAATTTCATTGCACATTGATGTCGGTTATTTCACCTATACTTATATTTATTGGTAATCCTGCACCGAACATTACATTAAGGAAGGTTTTGTATTAGGATAATACAAATGTGTTGCTTAAGCAGCTTTTTATATAGCTAAAAAGAAAGCAGTGACTCTTGTATTATTTCATTTATCAGCATAATCAGAGCAATATGTTTTTCGTTTGCAGAATGTTTGTATCATCCTGTAAGCGTCTGCGTTTGATGAAGAGCTCGGAAGCCGTTAATCTGGGTATTACTTTTTCCTTGCCTTTTTAAATTTTGTTGTTAATAGTCTACAAACTGAATTTGCATGTCAAACAGTGGTGTCGATCTCAAGTTCACTGCAGGCATCTACAAACAGTCCTGGTGACAATGATCTTAATAATTGGTTTCCCTTGTTCCAAGGCGATAAGCCCAAGGACAAACCGTTGTGAAAACTTTTTTACATCTCAATAAAATCGTTTGGCTTTTCTTGCCAAACGACAAAAGACATGCCTGTGCTGGGTCTGATGCTTTGTCACTCCTTTTTCATGAGTTGATCTAATTGGTTCCTTGATCAATCAATCCTAACTAAAAGGTAAGAACATTTTCCTCCAGTTGTCACTGGCTAAACATCCTGAAACAGAATGCTGCATTGTCTGATGTTCAACGCAGCCTTCCATTTGTTTGTTTAGCAGTCTTTTCTTCATCTGGAGTGTTGTTACAATACTCTTCTGATTCTGGTCTTTTGCTTGTAGTAGATGCAACCTCAAGCTCATCCTAATGATGTAAGGAAGCATCAAGATTAGAAGAAATAAAAGCTGCTGTATCCCAATCCTGATAATAGCATTGGTTCCGTTGTGTACGGGCAAACTTGTGTTGGCCCCGTTTATGAGATGCACGGTAAAGAGGCAGGGAAGTACATGTACAGCTATACACACCATGCTTCTTCTTCATCATCATCATACAATAATGGAAATTTTATGTTTGGCTGGCTGGCTGGCTATTTTGTTCCGATCACAACAACAAGAAGCCGAAATGCCAACTGTTCGTGGATGGTTGGCTGGCAGACCACTTTTCATAAGTCTGTCGATATATATCTCTTTGATGAAGCTGATGTTTAACTTGTTATTTTACTTCGTTTCCTTGTGTTGTTTAACTTGCATATTTTGTTTTCATAATCTGCACGCTTTCTCTGTGTTCTCGTCTTTTCTGGCTTCTGCAGTTATAGCTTTATCTTTAACCTTTGACCAAATGATGTGATAATTTCCCTGGCGGCTGTTGCTTGAGCTGCCCCTGTAGCATCATTCCTGCACCCTACTAACATGAAAATTATCCTTCAAGCTGTTGAGAATGTTCTCGTGCGGACAGGGTCTCACGAGACATCGCTAGAAGTCTCTAGCTGTCGTCGTGGGACGTTCATGTGCTTGTTTCATTTGTAGCCCCGACTGTGGGTGTCATGGGCCTTTGCATAAGTTGTACAATCATATCGCCGCATATGATTGGATGTCACGGGGACTGTACGCCCAGCGTAGTGAAGGGTCCAGATACAGTCTAATCACGGTCATAAACAAGTCGCCACTTTCCAGAGAGACAACGCATACTACAAAAGAGACGGCCGGGTAATGAGGTCAGTCACCCGACTCCCCCCATCAAATATATGAGATGGAGAGGGGGCGGTCTCCGTCAAGTTTCACTGCTTCCCAAGAGGCGAGACGTGAAGGACAAAGGAAAAGGCCAAGGCCTATTTTGTCCGTCTCCATCGAATGTGGGGTATTGGCGGTGCGTTGAAGGGGATGGAACAGGGACAACAGAACCAGTTATCCAAATGGCTCATATGACATGCATCTTTTTCCCACTTGAAGCCAAGACAGAGGCACATGGTAAAGGCTCGTTATGACCTCCCGCTCTCGCTGTTAGATATGACTCGAGGACAAAAAAGTATATATTCTTTCGATTTTTTTTCCTCCATCCTTCTTTTGTTCCTTCTCTTGTCATTGCTCTCCTTCCGCTTTACCTCGTTGCCCGAGCTCATTACCACGTTCAAAACCTGAAAAGGGTTGGGGGTCCCAAGTAATATTCTCCATCACGTACACCAAGTGTTTGGTTTAACTCCCCCTCTCTCTCTCTCTTCGTCCAAACCCTCGTAACTTTCTGCCCCCCAACGATAGATTAGCATGTAAAGACAGCACAACGACACATGTAAGAAAAGTACCAGTAACCTTATTTGGGCATGCAGCTGATGAAGCCTCCTCCCCTCGTGACGCTCGTTGAATTCGGCTGGCCATCTAAAACTCGAATATCTATGGCGACTAAGTCACTGCCAAAACTCGAATATCTGTCCCTAATAATAAGAGTTGCAACTTGAGCTTAGTCTCCACCTGAGTTGTCTAAGAAAGAACCCAAAAACTTTGTTCCATCACTCCGTAATAATGTAATTAGATTTACATGAGCCGTGGGATCCTAACTCAATCATATCCTACAACATGACAAAGAACATGAGGTGACACGTAGCTTTTCCCTTCACAAGGATACCGTTAATTTCATCCCTTTGTTACATTTCAGGTGGAATAATTCCTTGACCGCAACAGAGCTATGGACAGAGACATCCATGAGTCCAACGTGACCTGGCGACTAATCTATCTCGATGACAGGCCACGACATCCAACTACGAATTTTGACCGATTTGTTCCCATCTTTAACCCATTGGAAGAGTAGTGGTACAAAAAACATGTCACGGTAGCCAGTCTTGTTTTTTCCTTCACTTTATAGTGTCCCGCTCCTATTTTGCTTATCCTTGTCTTCATAATTCATCTCAGTTGTCTTATCGCATGTATTAATATCATCATGGATTAACCACTGGCCGTGTCTCTTCCACTTGGCCCTTCCGACCGCGCTCTGCCTCATCGTTCGCTTGACTAAATCCTGTTTATTTTCTGATGACGTTTTCTAATTATTAGTTACGATAAAAGGTTTTAGTCTCCTGTACGTTTTCTCGGATGGGGAAAGGGGACGGGTCTGGATTTGTGTGAAGCTTGTGAAATCCTCAATTTGGAGGTTTCTTTGATAAGAATATCCTTCAGTTTTGTTTCCTTCTCGTCTTCCTACCCCCTTATATTCTTTGCTGTTTTGGATCTGTTTCTTTCCGATTTGAAAGCACACTTTGGAGGAAATCTGCAGGTCGTAAAGCTAAATATTTTTCGTCCTCTTCCGGACACTGCCTATGAAATCTTAACTTTCAATGTTAACCTTTAGATTTCATCATTTGAAAACAAGAGAGAGAATTGGCTATGTCCACTTGCTCTCTCTCTCCCTCTCTCCCTATACATATATAGCCGTCCCGTCTCTCTCTACTCTTTCATCACCAACTCCAAACCATGCCGTCTCTCTCCGACCAACCCCTCATCCACCATCTCCAACAATTTGAGTTCAAGACCCTCACCGAGGTTCCCGACTCCCATGCATGGCCCGTCGTAAACGACCATCCTCACGGCGACGACGCCGTCCCGGTCATCGACCTAGCGTGCCCGGATGCCGCACGTCTCATCGGCCAAGCATGCGAGGAGTGGGGGGCGTTCCAGATCACCGGGCACGGCGTCCCTGTTGATCTCCTGGACCGCCTCGAGGCACAGACGCGCCGCCTGTTCTCTCTCCCCACCGGTCAGAAACTTAAGGCGGCCCGCAGCCCCGGTGGCGTGACGGGATATGGCATCGCTAACATCTCCGCCTTCTTCTCCAAGCTCTTCTGGTCCGAGGGCTTCACCATCGTCGGATCCCCTCACGACGAAGCCCGCAAACTCTGGCCCGACGACTCCGCCGAGTTCTGGTACGTCCATTGACCATGCATGCGTGCTAACTGACGCGACGATTGGCGACCGCTAACAGTCTCGGAGTGGTTCCATGCAGTGGTGCGATCGAGGAATACACAAGTTGGATGAAGCCTCTGGGTTGCAGGTTGATGCTGCTGATGCTAGCCTCGTTGGGCCTCAGCGAGGGCGAGATCGATTGGGCCGTACCATCAAATGACACCACCCACGAGGCGCCGGCGCCTGTGATCCAGCTGAACTCGTACCCAGCCTGCCCCGATCCCGACCGGGCGATGGGCCTAGCCGAGCACACCGACTCCAGCCTCTTCACCGTCCTCTACCAGGGCAGCGTACGCGGGCTTCAGCTGCTGCACGGCAACCACCCCACCAGGCGCGCCAGGTGGGTGACGGTGCCGCCCCTTCCGGGAGCCCTCGTCGTCAACGTGGGCGACCTCTCTCACATACTCTCCAATGGGCGGTTCCAAAGCGTCACGCACCGGGCCATCGTCAACCGCACGCAGACTCGCATCTCGGTGGCGTACTTTTATGGGCCGCCAGCCCACTTCAAGATCGCACCCATCGAGAAGCTGATGGGTCCACAACAGGGCCCAGCCTATCGGGCTGTGACGTGGCCCGAGTACCTGACGCTCAAGAGGAGACTCTACAACCAGGCGCTGGCGTCCATAAGACTGCCAACCGAAGGGGAGGAGGAGAGTCGCACGAATACCTCCGAGATAATAACAGCTGCGTACACAAGGAGGCATGGAGAAGCAAAGGTATAGATTGGAGCAGTGGTAGCGTTAGGTGTAAGACTAAGGGCCTTCATGTTCGACCGTAGCCATTCCCCTATGCTTACTCGGCTGCAACAGGACCCGACCAAAATGACAACCAATAAGAGCAGAAAGTGTTTGCAAACAAAACAATGGTTGTTCTGCAAGATAAGCTTGGGAGACATGTTTGTTAATCTGTTTCGGTTTGATATGGCAAAAGGCAAACATGGCATGTCCGAATGGTCCCGCCACTGTAGGAATCCGACCGAAAAGATTCTGTGATGGAAATCCATATATACATATATATATATATATCGCAAAACAGGATTTTGCAGAATCAATCAACGCTTAGATCACAAGGAAAGGCAAGATACGACGGTCTCGTGATTCACATGATCAGTGAGTTGTGCAGAAGGCGATGGCACGGTCATGGTTGGTGCGTGGGGCTTCTTTGGCCGTTGGTCGCGCTACGATCACTGCTATCTGCAGCCAACCAAGTGTTGTCGAAGATTGGGTGCGTGGTCGCAGCATAGATATGCAAGATCCAAACATAGCAGGGCGTGTCCGGCAGCAGAATCCAATATCGTAGCGGCGTGAAAGGTGCCGCCGAACCTAAATTGCGTTCTACATTATGCACGGCCAGTGTTTTTGTGATCTGATATCGATAACTATAGCAAAGTCTCGACCGTATGTTATGTAGAACGTGGCATGTCAGCCACATCGTTCATCGTTCTTAGACTTTCTTATCGAAGCAGAAAAGGCGTAATTTGGTAAGTATAATTAAGGGTTAGTAATTTCGAGGGGAGCAACCAAGGTAGGTTACCTTCGAAAAATGGGAATAAAGCAAACACGTCGTTCTATATCTTTTTTTCCACTTTAAGAGGGGGAAATCTGTGATGTCTTTGACTTTCCCGTCAAACATCTCTTTTCTTGTTGTTGAGGATAAACAAAGAAAACTCTGCATGTCTGTGTTTCCTATTCTTTAGGTCATATATATTTTTTCATTATTGGTATACCTTAGAATGAGGAACGGAATTTATGAGTTCTTTTAATCAAATAAGATCATGATATATGATTGATATGATCGATCTTGATATTTACTGTACGTAATGAAATTGTCGTGTCTGAAAAAGGTTTTTGAGATGATGCAAACCTTAATCGAATGAGAATTTCTCTCGGGGGCAAATCTCATATCTCTTTTTCTATTCCTATAAAATTTTGAGAGGGTTCATCCCATAAGATCCTTGCAATGGTCATGTTAATTTTGATCAATTGGTCGTGTAAAAAAATATTAGTAAGTAGTTTAAGAGCACAAGCCTAGTTGAATGAGTTTAGAACGAATAATAGTCATATCATTAGCCCAACTTTTCCAACTATTAGCCCAACTATTTCTGTTCCAAAATAGTAGTTTAAGAGCACAAGTCTGAGTATTGATTGAAATTCATGCATGAACTGTTGACTGACAAAAAAAATAGTAGTCATATCATTAGCCCAACTATTATGTTCCAAAATATGAACTTTTCAATCTCGAAGCATAATGCATATCTTATGACCTCAATTGTTGTTATTTATGTTAAAAAATAATTATATGATAAATTGGTTGTTTGCTTATATTAGACTGACATATCGAGTGGTATATATATATACATAAGTACATATATATATATACATACATAAATATATATATACATACATATATATATATATACATACATATATATATATACATATATATATATACATACATATATATATATACATATATATATATATATATATATATATATATATATATATGACATCACGCATAAGAGAAGTTGTTTAAGTTATATCGAGTACTTCAAATATTTTTTTTGTTAGTGATAAGTACATTAGGTGCAGATTTTATTGTTTTATAGTTTTAAATATAGTGGATCATATGGAAAGAGATACTTTTATCACATCAAGTACACTAGATGCATGTTTTTTTGTCTTAGTGAGTATATCATATGTAAAAAGAGTACAATTGGATCGTACATTATGCATAGCATATAAAGATAATCTTTTGAGTGCATTATGTACTTGACATGATTTTTTTGTTTAGATTAACTCATAACGCAAAGAGGGAACACTTGCGCCGTATTGGGCTCCAAATGATTTTTTGTGATGCCTTAGCTAGGATGGTCATATCTAACTCTAAGCACAAACACACCTTTGGTATATTGGCTCGGGCTCGAGTCGGGGTCGTGTGCATGAGATGCACATAGGTAGAGAGTTGAAGTTCGAGCACAACCTGTATGGAGTCCAAGTTTGTTGCACATGGTTCAGGCACGTATCACTCAAACTTGGATGCTTATGGGTGCTCATTCTCTAAGGCAACCGCATCGTAAAATCCACCCTGCTTCCTTCGGTGGGTCTCCCTCGAGACAAATGTGTGTTCGCATTGGCTGCACCATTCCAAGAAGACCTTGCCTTTAAGGCCATCTTATCTTCCAGTTGGTCATGTCATTCCAAGATGACTATGCCTTCAAGACCATCGCTCCTTTGCGTTGGTGAAGCTATTTCAAGATGATCAAGTTTTTTACTCCATCTCATCTTTCAGTTGATCACGCTGTTCCGAGACATCGGCACCTTCAAGACCGTCACATCCTTGAGTTGGCTGCGCCATTCCAAGATAGATATACCTCCAAGATCACAACATCCTCCAGATGGATGACCTAGGCCTTTAAAATGGGCAAGTCATGTCCTCTTCAGCTAGACTTCAAGTTGATTGCCACTTTGGCTAGATCATTTTTGGCCACGCCTCAATCGCTTCCCATCAGATCAACATCAAGCTTCATTGATGATAAATCGACGACTTGCAAAAAACAACACTTTTGATAAGAAGAGAACCTAACTTGGGTTGTGAAAAGTGGACATACCCAAAAGGGTGTTGAAGGGGTATATGATACATGAGATATGCAAGAGTATCAATGCATGCTAATGTACGTTAGATGCCAGAGATATGCAATGGTGTTAGGCCATGTTAACTTAGATTATTCATGTAAGGAGTGACAAAAGTATGAGATGCCTAAGGGTATTGATTGATTGTTGACTTAAATCATCCATATAGGTGATGTCAAATGTATAAGATGTATGAGAGTATTCTTATCCTAGCATGAGATAGTCAAAGTCGGCATGTCCCAACACGCTTACGTATCTCCTAAGTCAAACATTATGATCTAGTATTAGCAAGCCATTTACTCGAAGTAAAATATGGGATGAATAAATTGGGTAGATTTGAGAGCCACCTATTTTATCATATTAGGCTGAAGGCAACCAATCAAGGGTTAACATGTGGTGCCCAATTGGTCATAAGGACACATATCTTATGTTTCACACCTTTTACATAAGCAATTTAATTTTAAATACATTTACATCATCACACATTTTTTATGTTTGATAATCCTTATATAAGTCGTTCAAATCAACAGGCATTGACACCCACATATATCCCGATACCCTCACTTGCCTCTTGTGTCCAACACCATACTAGGGTTATTCAAATCATTATGTCATAATGTCTTTACGTGTGTTTTGCTTTTGTCAACTCTTATGCAAGCGATTTAAGTCAGTATGTCTCGATACCTTAGCATATCTCTTGTGTTTGACATCTTAATTTTGAAGGTTAAAATTGGTATACTCCAATGTTCTTATGGGTCTCTTATGTCCAACGTTCACTATACAAGAGTTAAAGTGGATATGTCCTAATACCCTTGTATGTCTCCTATGTTCGACAACCACTACATAGAGTGATTCAAACTTGCACGTCATGTCACCTTCATGTATCTACATGTGACACACCTTACAGGGGTGATTCAATCTGACATGTCTTAACGTCCTTATGCATCTTATGCATTCAACACCCCTTACATATGTAGTTCAGGTCAGCATGCATCTGATGACTCCTATGTACTATTTTTCAAGCTGACTCAATGCCCTTGTGTGTCCACATACGACATGTCTCAAATAACATCGTACATCTCATGCATTTAACACCCCTTACATATGCAATTCAAGTTAGTATGTCATGATGCCTTTACATGCCTCATATATTCGACAACCTCTATATAGGTGGTTCAAGCTAACACGCTCTAATGCTCTTATGTATTTCCTTCATCCTACACTCTCGTTGTAGACAATTCAAGTTAGAATGCTTCAATGCCCTCATGCATCTCTTGTGTTCATTGATATATAGGTGCTTTAAGTTTTCATACTTCGATACCACTGATTGCATACATGTATCACATCCTGAAATGATTAGGTCGGCATGTCTCAGTACTTAAGAATGTTTCTTGCATCTGACACCTATACGAAGGTGGTTCATATTGGTACACCTTGATACCCTTGCTAGTCATCCAACATGCACTACAAGAGGGTTCAATTGGACATGTTCCAATGCCTTCTCATGTTTTCTGCATTTGACAACTCATATGTGGAGTCATTCAACTTGGCACACCATGACACCCTTGTGTGTCTACCTATGATATTTTTTATAGAGGCAATTCAAGTTAACATATCACAATGCTCATGTACATCTCATGCAGCTAACATCTCATACGTTTGTAGTTCAAATTAGCAAACCTCAGATACCTTCAAGTGTGTCTTATGTCCAACAACTCCTATGAACTATTGTTCAAGGTGACACAACCCATCGTCCTTATGCATATGTGTCTTATAATCTTTATATAGGTGGTTCAAGTCATAAAATCTTAATGACCTTGTATATGCATCTCATGCATCCAATATCCTATGGATGTGACTTAAGTTAGCATGCCTCAACGATCTCACATGCCTTATCCGACAACCTCTACATGAGTGGTTAAAACTTGGTATACCCCAGAGCTCCCAAGTGTCTCCTACATCCTACACTCCCTATGTGGGCTATTTAAGCTAGTATACTTGGACACCCTCATGCATCTCCTAAGCTCGCCACTCCCTATGTAGGTAGTTTAAGTTGCATGCCTTGGTGCTTTCGAGCACCTACATATCTCATATCTTAGGTGATTCAAGTTGACATGTATCAACACCTTAGCATCGGACACTTGTATATGGGTGATTCAAGTCAGTATACTTGATGCCCTCATGAGTCTCTTACATCTAACACCCACTATACAGAAGTAAGTTAACATATCCCAATGCCCCACACATCTCCTATATCTGATGACCCTTATGTGGAGTGGTTCAAGCTGGCAATCCATAAAACCCTCATGTACCTGCATACTACACTCCTTATGAGGGCGGTTCAAGTTGATT